TCCACCTCTTGTTCCTATTTCCATGCAATCTTTGCATCTTGAGCAGCGGCAATAACAGTAGTGCAGAACAATAGAACATGAGGTGGTGATGCTGCTCCGAGGCTGTTCTTTACCATCGCCGACTAGGAAGTCGGGCTCTCCTCAAATGCTACCAAGTATTATAGAGTCACCACGAATTTTGTATTTTCTTCTCGTCGAGATGCCGTTTTTGAAGTCTTCCCCTCACTTCAACTGCCCGTGCGAGTGGTCATGCGTCACCAAAGTACGCGTTTGTTCGCGTCGGGATCTCGCCCTGAATGCAAACGTTAAATTACTTCAACCTTGTGTGATGCCTTCGCGGGGTGGATGATACCCTGCAACGACAGCAGGAGTCTGATCGATCCCACCATGAGACGCCTCAAGGCTCAAACGCCCACCGCAAGAAGCGGCTGTTGTCGTTTTGTCAAATTAAACTCAGCCTCTGGTTCGGCAAATGCGTCTGCAAACATACTCTATACAAGCAGGTACGAAGTAGATACTTGTAAATAGATTTTTTTTTTTTTTCTCGATACTTCGTACAGAGTAAATCAGTCTCTCAAATTGGTGTCCACAAAATACCATCTTCAAGAGATCTGTCAAAACTTGGGACGCGTCGTGTTATTTTTCGATTTCCTTTTCTGCGAGGAACATCGAACCCCTTCAGCCCTCCCGTCCCAAATGCGACGCTGGACCCTGTCGGCAAGCCAGGCACCAAGCAGGGTTCCTCCTGTCAAGTCAATCAGACCAAGCCAAGTGCTACCCAATCCCGGGCCTCGTTGCAAAGCTGCACAGCATGGGCATGGACATGGGTGGGCAGAGACACGCAGGGACAGGGGCATGTGGCAATGGCAGGGGTGCAGAGGGCGTTGAGAGCACAGAAAATTTCCCATTCCATGGAATTCCAGCTCATCTCGTTGGATGCACCGTCTTGGCGAACTTGTCCGAAGCACCTCGTAATCATGAACGAGGTATTTTGCATCACAGTTGAGAGAGCAAAAGACCGAGGCGTCCACTTCGGACTTTGACTCATGTCTTTATTCGACTCGGTCCAAAGTTGGGCTCATTCTGACTGTCAGAGGAGAAACTCCCCCGCTGAACCCTCTTTCCATGAATGTGTCGCCCGCCGGGTTCAATGGTCATGTTCCAGTATTTCAATATTATCCTCTAGATGAGGTCTTTTTCTTCAAGATTCCCGCTCCCTGCGGAGACTTTGGCAGCCCGATACCTACTGCCGTGCCCTAGGCTTACGAATCCAATCGATATCTTCAAATGTTCAGCTGGATGAGCATTCTATATGTTCGAGTTGATCACGATAACCTCGGGCACTCTCGACAATTGCTGCCTAATATGAGCCTCAATGCTATCTTCTTGTCTCTCCACGGAGGTCCTGAAGGCGAGAATAGAAATATTGAAGAAATCGATTGATGGTTTGATCCGATGGCTTGATCCCATGCATAACTGGGAAATCCGTCGCAGAGACCTGGAGACGGTCTCATGTTTGGGATGCCGATCCTATCCTGGCTAGAAATTCCCTTCCGACCCGAATTTTCCCATGTTTTTCTCTACCAAAGAGGGAGTTGGTGGCGAGCCGGGAGTTGAGCCTTTTGCTTGGTCAAACATCCTGGAGTTGCCTCAGAGATTCCTTCGAAGGAATGGCAGAGGCGTTTGCCGGAGATTTTAGATTTTAGACATGTGCAGTGGTATTACTTGCAGGCATTAATGTCGTCGAGGAAAATGAAGCCACAATTTGGAAGTAATTAAATCCTCCAAGCCTGGAAATCGAATGAGAAATCTCGTCTTCTCCCGCTTCCAACCAATCGAAGCCATTGATCTCTGCTCATAATATCGTCTGTCTGCGTCTCCAACCTCACATCACATAAATCCGTTAGCCTCGGTTACCGCATCTCATCTCGACCTCCGAGTCCGGACTGCATCCTTTGCTTTTGTTCCTTTCCTCTTACTCTTCTTCAATCAAGTCTTCGTCTCGTCTTCGCCGGGTATTCCCGTCTTCAAGAGAGTCTTCACAACACACACAACCTTGCGAAATATTCTTCGCATCATACGAGAAGAGAATAGAGACATTCCCCATGTAAACCTCTCACCATGACTGAGATTTTGTGCCTCAGTCTTCAGATAATCCAGATAATCTACGGTAACCCTTCGCAACAGCCAAGCCCAAATTGATTCAGTGGTTCATCCCACCTTTGTGACCGCCACCCCTTTTTTCCCGAACTTGCTTTTCCTTTCCCTTCCTGCCACTAGTCATCGTCCATTTGCATCATTTTAACCATTTCCAGCCTTTATCAACGCCTCGAAACTTGGTAAAGTGGAGGGTATCCAAGACACGCATCATTGTCGAGAGTTGATTCCTGCTCTTGGAAGAGAGGTGGAGCCGCCTCTTTCGAGGTGAATCTTACCCCAGCCCCCATTTACACCGAGCTGGGTCCAACGTCTTTCTTTTCTTTTTGTGTCTTTTCGGCTCGGTGACCGAACATAGAGTAAGCCTCAGTAAGGACAAACGGAATCGTCTTTGGATCCGAAGAACCCGACGTCTCGGCGAGATACCACATGAAGTCCGTCTCTTCCAAGGTTTCTCAGTCAACATCTAACATAACCCTTATCCTCAGTGCTATCCTGTCTCTTGATCTCAGATGTCAGTAAGCAAGCTACCGCAGCCGACATGCTCTTCTCGGAATAAACAAGAAGCAACAGGAAAATATCTCGGAACCTGCCCCCCGACCCGGATATCGCCCTCTCTCATGGTTCGCACACGAATGTAGCAAATCTCCCACTCCAGCCCCGTGGCTTTCATTTTCTCTCTATTATTATTCGTTCTGCTCTCCTAGTCTCTCAGCCGCAGCATGCAAACGAGGCCTTCCGTAGAATATGCCCACCGTCGACTTCCCATCTTTTTCGCAATCGCGGCTGAACAGCCTCACTGTCCCAAAGCCCGTCAAGATACAGGGTTTCCCCTTGCTCCCCTTTTCTGACGGAATCTTTCGAAACAATTGATGAATGAAGTATTATTAGTATCTGACGCCGAAAACAGCTGTCTGCTTCTTCGGACATAGATCGCAGCAAGCCACAACGTGCTTTTCATCCACGCAACTGGCCAATCCGCCGTCGTCTACTCACCACACTCGCAGCTTGGCAGATGGTACTATTGCTTGCATGGGAGGACGACACCAAATTCCTCCCAAATCAGGGCAAATCCAAGAAAAAGAAAAGCCGGGGCAAGGAAAAAGCAGACAATAGGCCAAAAAAAAGCAACTGGTCCTGCTGTTCTTCTCCCTGGCATATGGTAATACTATTCTTTTCAGGTCCCCAACCTGCAAGGGCTTCGGCATGCACGTACAAAGGTGAAGTGAAGTGAAATTACTAGCCACCAAGCATGAATGGTTAATCCTCGAGATGCTGCGATCTCATAGTCCCTCGAGCTACGGCATTCTTAGACTCGGCACGAGTCCAATTGGAAGCTGGAAAAAAAGTAGCAGGTTAGATGGGAAGAAAAAAGAAAGAGAAAAAAATCGGAGATGTTCTATGCGCTCGCTTGTCCGTCATAATCGCGAATCATAGCACCATTGAGCTAATCAGAGGGGAGGGAGACTATGTTGTTTTCTTGCCCTCGAGATCATTCGTTCCACGGGCTTAGTCTCAGCTAGGATCCAACGATTGGCAGGGGATAGAGGCTCAGAGCGTTGTTGACGTTATCTGAACTTACGGAGGACGAGTTCGTGGAAGAATCGCTTGCCCTCATGTGTTCACTGCGTTGCTCTTTTGATCCAGGGCTGTCACTCAACTCTACCCTCTAGTCTTAAGCAGTACGGGGAACAAACTCAGAGGATGGCTGCAATGATGATTCTCGAGATACTCTCAATCCCACCCTCCGAGTTTCTCTCAGAAACTTTGTAGAATTAACAGTCTGAGATCATCATCTTCCAGACAGGTGCTTCGTATAACCTCTGGTGCCTTGTTCTTGAGAATCGTCAATTTCAATGTCTCAAGTCAAGGATGCGATGACGAAGCAACGAGGGAGAGCTTATCTCGGGACATCCTTGGAAATACATCGGAAGAAAGAGATCTTGTTTTCCAAAAGGATGACTATCGGGTAATATGCCTGACCGAAAAGGGGAAAAAGCAATCTCGAAACAAGAGCAAACGCTTGGGGCATGCCACGGTGCAATTACACAGTAACCAAATAAATCGTTACTGGCCATCAAGCTCCGCCCAGACCGAATCCTGGCTCGAGCTCCCTTCCCTCCACCTTAGCTCCTGGAGCCTTCTCTCTCCCACCCCAGACCAGAAAATACAAATCTATGCCCACCCCCGATGTCGTAATCCCGCGACCCCTCTTGCCGTATATCCTCTCCGGGGACGCGCACTGAGGCTGGCGCAAACAGAAGCGCCCTGGAGTGAGCCGAGTGATGAGCAGTTACCTCGCACCATGACGCCGTGCGTGGTCCCGGTACGTACTTCGTCCTCTCCTCCTCCTCCAACACAGTTGCGTCCTCCGAGTGTCTGTGTTCGTTGCTTTCCCCCATCCCCCCCCCCCGGCCATCGAATTTTCCCATCACACTCCATCCTCTCTTTTCTTTCCGTCTCCTTCTCCCCCCTCCTTTTCACTCTATTACTCAGAGCCCCCTCTCCCTCGTAGAATAAATGTAAGGGTAAGCTGCCGCCGCAATGGGCTCGGCTGGTGGCGAGCAGTAGGAGCTGACAAGCTTTCCCGCCTCCACCCACACCACACCCCTTTACCCCAAAATAAACAGTGACCCCCCTTCCTCTCTCTCTCTCTGTCTCTCTCTCCTCTCCCGCCCATAAAACTTCTGGACGGTTTCCCACCCTTTCCTCGCTCCATCTGTTCCAGCTACCCTCCATCTCTCACGACTTTCCCAACGCGCGGAGCGTGCTTGTACGATCTTAGTTCCATCTTTGTTAGATTCAATTGACCTTGTTTCTCGGATTTGTCCCCGCCGCAAACCATGTCCTCGCGTAAGAGAAAGCAAGAGGAAGAGGAACTCGTTTCCCTTCCTTCTGATGAGGAGTCTGAGCCAGAGTAAGCCACCACTGCGCGCATCTCGAACAATAAATGAAAGTTATTGGGGGTACATGAGAATTCGTGATGGGAACAATAGCTATGGGGGAATGCTTCGTATCTAAACAGAGTGCGCCAGCCATCTCTGTTCATCAAGCGGATGGTTTTGGCGACCTCCAGATGAAGCGCACATCCCTCAATTGGTCTTTCTGTTACCCAGAACAGCACAGAGCGGCTCATTACCGGTGATGGAACTACCAACTAACCGCGACCTATCGATAGGTTCGAGCCGGATGAGGAAGACATCGAAGACGAGGAAGAGGACACCGGTGACGACGAAGAATACAACGACGAGCCCGAGGGCGATGAAGATGAAGAAGAGGCCGAAGCCGAAGGTAAGGATGCGACATCCACTCGGTTCCGCACTTGTATCATACCTCTCCCGTCGAAGGCAGCATCTGACCACGCTTGATAGACAAAGGTCCTCCGGTGAAGAAGCGAAAGACGACCAACGGCGTTGCCAACGGCGATGAGGAGGTCGAGGTCGAGGTAGAGGAGGAGGAAGAAGAAGAGCCAGAGGAAGAAGTTGAGGAGCTAGAAGAAGAGGACGTTGAAGAGATCGAAGAGGAGGAGCCCCTCGATGAAGAGGGTAATGAGGACGAGGAAGTAGAGGTGGAGGAGATTGATGCCATCAACGGCGAGGAGGCCGAGCAGCCTGTAAAGAACGGCATCGCGGCAAAGGCCGGCGAAGCTTCCGAACCCGCTAGGTCTGGGCTTGAGGACACCGCCTCTGCTGAGGACAAGCTCAAGGCAGCAGCTGTAGCGGTAGGAGGCGAGGCCGAGGCTGAAGCCTAGATACTGCTTGGGTAGCCGGCTCCTCTGCACTAAAAAATGTCTGGTCTTTTCAGTTTTCAGTTTTGTGTTTTTGGTTCGAAATAGTCTGTTTCCATTACCACCTAGCTAGATGACCCGAGGCGAATTGGTTTGATCAAATAGACCTCGGTGTTTCCAGGATCAACAGTCGGTGCTTACAAAAAAAATCCCCAAGCTCTCCAGGCTCCATGACCGAACGGCTTCCCACTTGGCAAAGGTTTCATCATCCGATAAAGAGTTGAACTCTGAACCATGCATGTGTGCCACGCCATCAAAGGGTCGGTTCGTGCTTCGTAGAGGTCCGTCGGGGACTAAGACGTGACTAAACTTCCGGGATTGAGGGAACTCTACCCTCGTCTGGTCCGGACTCCTTCGGACAATAGGGGAGACATTGTCTCAAGTCCCGTTTTTGAGGGCATTCAGAACTCCGGGTCACGATTAGCGTATCATGCTGCAAAGTGGTATCGTAACGGAGCGGATCTGGTCTGGTTTCGCCGTACCTGCGTCATCGACAGGCCTTGTGGGGTGGAGAAGGAAAGACTAAACCGGAGTGAAGTTGAGGAGAGAAAAAAATTTCCGTTCAATTGGGGTCGAAGAAGGAGACGAGGGCACCAGCCACTTGTAGGGGCCTCTCTGTTGTTGGGGGAGATTTTCAGGCATGATTGGGCAGCGCCCCTAGCTCGTTGAAGGCGTCGGGAGGAGAGGGTTGGCATCGCCATCTACATCGGTCCTATCTAAATTTAGCATTGATTTGTTGAGAGCCGCAATCTGTAGTTACTTGGTAGGGTTCTCCGAAGTAAAAATTTCATCAGAGATTTCTGCAGCATCATCTACAGTTGAGGTCGGCGACCGAAGCCTCGATGTCGCTTTCTCGAAGGATTCGATGACATCAATGTTTCTCGCACCGTGGAACAGGGCTGGCAGGGATTGCTGATCCCAAAGGGCTGTCGTTTCCGCGTCCTAACCGACCCCGAGCAACGGACAACCGGAGGATTCGTAAAACCCCTGGTTGATAGCGGCGTCGACGAGGAATCCGGATCCATCCAGTGCGAGTGCGGCATGCGCAAGGATTCAACGTCAATTGGAGCGATTGGGAGCGGGCGTTGATCCACATCTCAACTATGGTTCGGGAGCCGGCGCCGATGGATAGTTTCGAGTCGCCGAACCCGTTGAGCTAGCGGAGCCGATGGATAAAAGTTTGCGAAGCCTACTGACCGGGGTCTAGATTTGCGGTCCTGGGCAATGGTTTCTTCTTTTCACCTTTTTTAAACCCTGGGCTAGTAGGTGATAGGGCTACACGCACACGAGGTCGTCTCTCGATAAGTTTCTCTGGCCACGGCCCATGAGGGATATAGAGAAATCTGTCTCCCGAAGGGTGGCGAATCCTCTGGGCGCTATTGCATGGCGCAAGATGTCGAGCTATCAGTACCTCGTAGATAGGCCCGAAGAAATCGGGAATATCCTGAACGAGGAGAAGAGGCGAAAGGTAGTGCCTGGGCGTGCATCCGATGTTCCTGGTGGATTCTCTCACGGACCAGATCTACTTCACCGAGCTTTCCACGGAGCTGCCGCCGAGAGTGGCAACGTTGTGAATGGCTTTGGACAGAGAGACAGGCTGGACTGGACTCGACGCACGAGGGGGGTAGCGAGAGGACCTTTCGACATTACTCGAGACTCGTCCTCATTCTCATGCAGGTGGTCGTCAAGGTAGAGTTTACATTGAGGACATGGAAGAACAGAATAAAAAAAGCAGAAGACATCGATGAAGATGTCGCCACATGCACGAAGAACGCGGGACGGAATGGATTCGGTCAATGATGGTGTCGTCGTCTACCCACGGTGTGGCAGTGTGTTAGTCTGATAGAATATCAAGCCTGCAGGCCAATCTGCAGGCCGGGATGCCGGCACATCCCTTTCTGGACGGACCCGAAACGAAGGCCCTTCCTTCTGTATCACTCCCACTCCCATATCTGAACACCTACTCTATCTCGTCGATACTGCCGGGCTTTGATAAGATACCAATATGCAATGCCGGATAACGACGGCGTTTGTTGAACGAGTGGCCCTTAATGTATCGTATCTGTAAAACAAGAAGGCCCCGGTCGATCCATGGAAAGCTGCCTGCCCAGTCCGTCCTTCTTTAAGCCGCAGGGGTTGCGCCGCCCGCAACACAATCCAGTATGCATACAACGACGATAACACCAAGGGGCGATTTTGATGGATGTGTCTTTGTACACTATACCTACTTGAGGAATGAGAGAACCCTAGAATAAAGGCTTGCAGCCCGGGCAATGACGCGAAATTATTTGATGTTGATGCATCGATAGTGATCCGTCGCATGTGACACTGAAGATGAGAGTCGAGTGAAGGGAACCGTGGAAGCACAGAGGACACTAAATGCGGAGGCGAGGTAATAGGCTGGTCTCCATGAATTGGGGCGAATTGTCTTACGGATTGGCTGGCATGTGGTTGACCCAATTCCAGTCTCGCATTGCGTGGGTTCGCTTCATCCGGGGATTCTGTTTGGCTTCACTGATGATAGTCATAGGGATTCTTGAGATATATGAAGTTCGTGCGAGTCGTATAGGGTCTAAAAGTGATGTGTACTGTCAACTATCAAGGCTGGGTCAAGGCCAACACTGCCATTTCCAACCTTTATCGCAGGCCTTGGCGAGAACAATTGTGCATGGCGAGGAGGCGGAGTTGCAGTCGCTAGGCGGTTGTAGTGGTGATCGTAGTCGCTGAGATGGTGGTTACCGGATTCAACTTCAATCTTCAATATTCAACACTCCCTTGTGTCAAAAACCAAGCCTTCAATGACGTCCATGATCGTGATGACTCGATTGAGGAAGGGAGCCCTTGAGGAGAAAGCAAGAAGTACTCGGCAGGGTTTCTCGTGGTCCTCATACTGTGCAGACTTCCTCGAGTCGAGTTGATACCAACTCGGATGAATGCAAGGAAGACAGAAAGAAATCAAGAAGCAATGCTTGGGCCCTAAACTCTCACTTGCATCCTGGCAACTGCAGCTTTGGCTTTGAGGACGGAAAATTGATCCACTGTACTTCGTAGTAGCCAGGCGAACCAGAGTCGTACGAAAAAGCACCTCGTACAAATGCCAAGCACTAGGATCAATTTGATGGATGCACCCTCAACGATCTCGGCCTTTGGTCCCCCGATGCGTCCATGCGCGGAGCCCAATTGATACATCGTAATATCCGCAGGCACCCTCGCGCCAACTTGCGAACCCCTCTGCCCCTCTGCCGCTCTGGCATGCGGGATCCATCGCTTCGGAGCTAGAGATGCACGTGTGGGATTGGCATCACGCCTCGAGACTTGGCCGGAGAGAGGAGGGGCGTGAGGACTGAAGAGCCCTCAATTGATCTGAAACCCACATAGGGTGATGGTTTGGCAAGCTTTACATACATTACAACATAATACGTACATACATCCATGATGCGGAGGATCCAGCATATGCGCCTCCCGTGACGCTCAGTGTTGCAGTGGGAGTAAGACAAACCCAGGTGATTTTAACCAGACATCTCCATTCGTGCTCTTGTCGTCTTGGCCTGGGCAGCTATCTCCATCTGCACAGCACCGTATCGCCCCATTTATTCTTGTCGGTTCGCCACTTCGACAAGCTTTTGCGCATCTCAATTTCCAAACCAAAATTCTCACCTATATCCTCATGTATTTTCAACATACTCAATGCATATCTATCATTAAGATTCTCTTCCATATCTTGGCCAAAGATGGCAGCCTGCCCTTTGTAGGATTAGTGGCTACGAAGTAGACTGATAAACCCGCCAAACCCCGGCAAGGTTAGCAGGACTGAAGCTTTTTTTGCGAAAGCATTGATCAAAACCTCTGTGCTCGCTCTCCCTTCGATGTGTCTTGGGAGAAAAAACGGCCCAGAGTGGAACGACGAACCAAAACGGAGCATCGTGAGCGACCTGCCCCCGATCGTACCTATCTCATTCGCCAGCGATCTAAATTGACACCAGTTTAGTTTCGATGCCAAGTTATTTTCCACTCCTTCCCCGTGTCCGTGTGCTTCCTCCCCCTTCCTCCCTTGTCCTTTTCCCAAACTTGTACGAAAAAGTGGTAGATATGCTTTTTCGGTTTTTTGTGATCCTGCCTTGCTCTACAAAGCCACACTAGGGTCCTCTTCCTTCAATACATCAGACCAACACAATGTAAACGTGGAGTGAGAGCATGTGCACTTCGTCTCTTTGTCCACTCCGTCCTCACCTATTAAGTTTGTAGACTAAGCCTTCCAAGATGCAAAAATGGGGAATGGCTCGAAATACACAACAATAGACCATCACATAGACTTCTCTCTCTGCACTTGGCATTCCACCCACACCCACACCCACACACACACACACACACACACACACACACATACACACACACACATATACACACATACACACACACACACACTCTCTCTCTCTCTCTGTCTCTCTCTCTCTCTCTGTCTCTCTCTCTCTCTCTCTCTCTCTCTCTCTCTCTCTTGCTCTCTCTCTCTCTTGCTCTCTCTCTTGCTCTCTTGATCTCTTGATCTCTTGCTCTCTCTCTTGATCTCTTGCTCTCTCTCTTGCTCTCTCTCTTGATCTCTTGATCTCTTGATCTCTTGATCTCTTGCTCTCTCTCTTGATCTCTTGATCTCTTGATATCTCTCTCTTGATCTATCTCTTGATCTCTCTCTCTTGATCTATCTCTTGATATCTCTCTCTTGATCTATCTCTTGATATCTCTCTCTTGATCTCTCTCTTGATCCCCCTCCCTCTTACTCTCCTTATTGTAGTTAGTTGCCGATCTGCGATCTCCGTCTCCCTACTCCTCACATCCACTTCATTAATGCTTCGACTTCTCAGACATCAGGTACCCCTCACTTCTTAGTAGCCTCCCTCCCCTCCCTGTGTCAGGGAAATAATAATAGCACTGACGTGTATTCTGCAGGTGATGACGTCCAATCCGTT